GCTTTTGTGGGTTTATTTCTCAGAAGGGATTTATTATTATTATTGTCAGGAGGGTTTTATAGTACTGCAAACCCCAACCATTCCAATAGCATGAGTCAGGCCCCCCAAAAGCACCCAATACTAACTGGGTTTTTAAAATTGCCTTCTGGTTTTCAAACCTTTATGGTGCACTTGCTTCATGATTATAAAGCTCTTCTCGGCAACCAAGCGGGCTAGAATCTTTATTTTGAAAAAAATGAAACTGAGACTCTCATGATTCCAGCAACTGGGGATTTAAGCAAAACACCAATTATTACATAGCCAGAGATAAAACCGTGTGAGGTGGCAGTGCCGGATCCGCTTGCAATGGGAACTACGTTTTGACTTGCTGGTGATGCTGTGAAGCTGTCACTAGACCAGGGGTGGGCAAACTTTTTGGCCCGAGGGCCACATCGGGGAATAGAAATTGTATGGCGGGGTTGGGGTGCAGGAGGGGGTGCGGGCTCTGGGGTAGGGCTGGGGATGAGGAGTTTGGGGTGTAGGATGGTGCTCTGGGCTGGGACCGAGGGGTTCGGAGGGTGGGAGGGGGATCAGGGCTGGGGCAGGGGTGCAGGAAGCGATGCAGGTTCTGGCTGGCAGTGCAGGGTCTGGGGTGGGGATGAGGATGAGAGGTTTGGGGTGCAGGAGGGGGCTCCGGGCTGGGATCGAGGGATTCGGAGGGCAGGAAGGGGATCATGGCAGGGGGTTGGGGGATGGGGAGAGGCTCAGGGGTGTAAGCTCCGGGTGGCGCTTACCTCAAGTGGCTCCCAGAAACAGTGGCATGTCCCTTCTCTGGCTCCTGTGCAGAGGCGCGGCCAGGCGGGTCTGCGCGCTGCCCCATCTGCAGGCACCGCCCCTGCAGCTCCCATTGGAGTGCGTAGGAGCCGGAGCGGGGCCATGCCGTGGCTTCTGGGAGCCGTGTAGGGTGGCCCCCGACCCAGCGTCCCGGCCAGAGCGCTGGAGTGGGGCTGAGCCGTATGGTGCAGCTCGCAGGCTGGCTTAAAACGGCTCGCAGGCCAGATCCGGCTTGCGGGCCGTAGTTTGCCCACCCCTGCACTAGACCCTGAGAAGTGACCTGCACTGTAGCAACTGTAAAGATTTTTCTGTTGGAAACTGGAGCTAGCAATGAATTATTTCAAGCGCTGCAGGGCCCATGTGCGTCTCACACCAGCAACTGGTCTTTGCAAAATACAACACAGATGCAGTGCTGTCAGCTCTTGCGATGCCTATGCCAGTCATGTGATGCAGGCTGGCGATTCAGTCTCCTCTAATTGGCTGCTTTTCCCAATTCCCTGCCTCCCCGGGAAGAGCAGCCACTCATAGCTGCTGCCAGTGGAGCTCTGCCCCGCCTGTGAGCAATGGAGACAGGATATTTCCTCTGGTCCTTCCCCTGCCTCCCTGCAACACCCAGCCCAGGAAGATGGGGAGGGGGGTAAAGAGCCCCAAGAGCTGGAAGAGGAGCAGAGGTGGAGGGAAAGGGCAGACTTGATGGGAAATTGGGAGCAGAATGGGGCATGGTCAGATGGGGCTGAGAGCGCCTGCAACAGGGGCCAGAATCACCATGATACGTTTGGGAGTGTTGTCACATACAAGGGGGGAAGGGGCCAGAGACGGGGCCAGCTGGGCCTAGGGAGGGGACCTGTATCTACAATACTGGGCCTGAGCATGCTCCATCGTCCCCAGGCCCGCCCCCTTCCCCAAACCTGCACCGAACTGACCTGCTAAGGTCACAGGGAAACTTGCACAGGGACGGGTGGTAGGGCAAACACCTTTGGGCTGTCTGTACCGTGAATGCAGCATAGGGATGGGGGATTTGCTGAGCCTGCTTCAGAGTTTGGGACCCCACCAGGCAGCCTCGGTCGACAGCATGAAGGTGCCTGAAAATGGCTGTATGCCAGCTTCCAGCTGCCCTTACACGGGTTCGAGGGTGCAGCTGGCATGTTGCTATTCCAGTTCCCTGCAGTACGATTCCCTGCATGTGCTGCCATGTTAAGTGAGTGACTCATGACCCACCTGCCAGAGCATCACGGCCAACCAGTATAAATGGGATGGACCCAGTTGTGCTGCCAATGGAAGGTGCCCCACAGAATTAACGGGAGTCAATTTGGGGATTATCCTCATGGGTCTGGCCTGCCCCCGGGAGGGGGGTGAAGACAGCTCTTCCCTCCCAGAGCATAGGTTGGGATCCTCGGGGTTCAAGCCTTGGCTATCAGCCCCATTCAGCTTTAAGGTGTTCCTCAACTGAGCTAAGTGTTGCCCCCTGGGCTGGCTTAGGGCACTCACCAGGGTTGGTTGCACTTTGGAGACTGGGAGGAGAGGGCAGGACTAAGGTTGGGGGTTGGAGGGACAGGGAGATGGCAGATCTGGGGGAGAGGAGAATTGATGTGGGGCAGAATTAATCCTGGGACCTGGAAGACAGGCAGATGTGGGGGCAGAACTGATGTGGAGTCTGGGGGGATGGTATTGATGTATGGGAGAAGACTTGATCTGTTGGGCTCTGTGCGGGGCAGGCAGAATTGATGTAGTGGGCTGTGTGTGTCGGAGACAGGCTTGCCAACTCCGACTGAAGCTATTCTGGGAGATTTCCCCCCCAACATGACAATGTCATTTTCTTAAAATAGCCCTATTAAAATCTCCTGGATTGCTTTCACTAGTGCGTCTCCGGGAGATCGATGCTGATTCTGGGAGACTCCAGGCCAATCCTAGTGGGAGAACTGATGTGGGGGGCTGGGGACCAGAATTGACGTTGGGGTGAGAACTGATGTGGGTGAAGGGGGGGTTAGGGGGCAGAATTGATGTTGGGGGGGAGAAGTGATGAATGGGGGCAGAATGATGTGGAGAACTGAGGCAGGGGAAGAACTGATATTAGGGGTGTGAGGGCAGCAGAATTATTTGCTGGGCTGGGGGATGTGCAGATGTGGGGGTAGGAGGCATATAATTAATTGGAATTTTGGGGATAAGCTGGATGCTCTGTGCCGTCAGATAGCAGCAGGAGCTCCTGAAGCAGGGGCCAAAATCCCCTTTCCCCGTAGATTTGGGAGAGGTGGCGAGGCAGCTTGTCAGTTACACACAAGGTGGGGGTGGGCAGGGGGAGTTAAATAATCAAAAGGGAGCCTGAAAAACTCAACAGAACATTTAAAAAATGGATTTTTTGGAGCCAATGTCATGAATTTGGGGATGATGCATGATTTTTGAACAGTCGGGGCTGCCAATACTGCACCCCCACCCCCAAAAACCTGCCAAATAATTCTCATGTGCTTATTTCATAGGGCGGTCGGGAAAAGTGAATCAACAGAAGGGCTCAGTGAAGCCATGTGGCAGCGTTTGCTATGATACTCCATTGGTTACAGCTTTCTTCAGCCATGTGCTGCAAACCACTGCACCAAGCGGAAGCCAGGCTGTTTAAATAGTGTGTGCGCGGTGCATTTGCAGCCTGAGAGACTCTGGAGGTCCCTGCCCCTTGAAAGGAACAGGCCCTGGGAGAGCTGTCACAGACTGGGTGAGAGTAGGAGGGACCCTAATGCACACCCTGCCAGCGCTAACCCAGCCCAGCCAGTATAGGTGCTGAGGGTGGTACTGCACCCCCTGGCTTGAAACAGTAATAACCCAAATACATGGTTTCCACCCTTCAGCACCCGGACTATAGAAACGGTTCTAGCATCACTGATAGCCAGGTGAACAGAGGTAGGCCACACCCCTCCCACACATGCTTCCCTCGTGTGGGCACGAGCAGTGGTGCAGGCTCTGACCTAGTCAACACCAGCCTACCGGAGTTGGGGTGGGTTGGGTGGCTCTTGCCTCCCAGGGTCCTCCCCACCACCCTCCCTCTGAGCAGCTCTCTCTCCTGTTTCCCCCCATGAACAGCCTCAGCCCCTGCAGGACTAATGGGCTAGTACCCTCTTCTGCATTAGACTGGAGAAGGAACGGCCCAGTGCCTGCTCCCTTCATACGGAAAGGAGGGGATGTGTAATATTTGATACTAAAGCACACTTTTTTCTTGATATAACGTTGCCTATAGACAAACATTGTTCCCACCCCCTAACACAGGCTTACAAAGCATCTGGAGTAATGCCAGCTTCCAGTACTCAAAACCCATTAGACAAGGCCCCACCAAACAAGGATTTATTAATAAAATGTGTTTTTAATTTGCCTTTTTAAGATGGGAGTGAACCAGAACTTCCTTGCTGGGAAAAAATTTTCGTTTCTAAATCTAAATGAAAAGTTAGAAACTCAACATTTTCTGAGGGAAGGAAACTTAAAAACAAACAAAAACAAACAAACAAACAAACCCAAAGGGCATTTCTGGAAAAATTCCAGGTGCCATGTGGCCAGCCTGCCTGGTGACCTAGTGTTCAAAGGTCCACCTCTCACATTTGGTACCCCTTGTTTAAACTACTGCATAGACTGATGGCGAAAGTGGTACTTGAACTAGAAAAATCAGTATATTGTGCCTGCCTATTCTTAACAGCTTATGAATGTACTGCCTCCTAGTGGCCATTACCTGCTCTTTCAATTCAGTTTTTGGTTGTTAAATGCCATAGGATGAAACAGGGGTGTTTTTTAAAGTAGCCTCTAAACAGATATTTCCTAAGTTTTGAAATGCTAGGAACTGAACTGTAGGGTGGATGGATATGAATGCCCCAAAGAGTCAGAGTGAAATGGACTTTCAACACAACTGTACCCAACAGGAATTGCCATAGATTGTTTAATATATTATATACAGCATATGCAATAAAACTGATCTGCAATTTCCTGCATAAACATTCAGATCAAGGCAAAACACTTTCCAATATAACCCTTCTCTATACAAAACTATACATTTAGTCCATGAATTTTAGCCCTTGCAACATTTGAAACCCCAGGATTTTCATTGCTGAAAACCCAACTGTCACACTCAGAGCTCTCTCCTCTTCACCTGTACACTTAATATGAAATCAAGATAGGACAGTAGCGTGTGCTGAAATAAGCTCAAAAAAATTCCAGTAATTTGAGCACCACAACGGTGGTTTAATACACGTGGAACAGTGAAACATTGTGCGTCTTACAGCTTCATTTAGTACTGCACTGGTTCTCATCTCGAACATCTAAAGTAATTGCACTGTACATTTCAGTGGAATGAGAAAGCAAGCGTTACAGTCTCACACAGGTTTAGGCTTTGTCTGCTTTCTTCTCTGGCCCTTCTTTCTTAGGATCCTGTTTCAACTTGTAATCTGCCAGAGCAGCCCTGATTGCATCTTCAGCTAGCACTGAAAAGCGAAAGAGAGAACGAGCACTTTGAAACTTGTTTGTAAGTAAGGGGGGAAAAATGATCCACTTTCTAAAAATGTGTCAAATACACTGCAAGACTATACAGCAGGGACACTAGCAGAAACAGAGAAGGCTAGATTTTCTTGCAGGTCACAACTGGGATACAGGAGAAGTGTTTTTCTACAGCAAAGCTTGCCCTGGCTCCTGCCTGCACTATTCCTTAGTTGAGGAAATGCTTTTAATTGTCTGAGGAATTAACTGACGTTTTAGACAGACACCCCCGCCTTCCCCTCCCCTTCCATTTGGCAACCGACTGCACGTCTATCTCATTCAACATCCTTAATCTGGGTTATGTTCCTTTTCCTTTCAAAGGAGCTAACAAAGGAGTTTTTTTTTAAAAAACAGGGCCTATGCCATCTTTTCTGCTTTGCCATACCAGCATCAGAAACGTCAACTCTGGTCATCATTTGCTTCTGAACTTACACTTACATTGAGGGGGAAGAGGTCCTGAATCTTTAAAGTTCATGACTAATATTTTGAAGGAAGGAAAATTGGTCAGACAATTTTAATCCTTCTGATTAAAAGCTCAGGTTTCAATTTTTGGCTCTTTGATGTCACTTTACTAGTTCTCTAGTCACCACAGACTCTTCTAGATGAAAGACCTGGTTTCTAATGTAAAAATAAAAGCAGAATGTCTTCTAGACCCTCATTGTACCTCCCAAAACAAGCCAACCCCCGATTTGTTTCTTTTGCAGGTCACCTTTAAAAAGAGATCAGTAGAACTGGGCACTTGACTTGGGAGAACTTATGGCAGACTCAAAAGACAGGTAACACTAGGTACATCCTGATGCACCCATGTAAGTCCTCTGCAAATACCTAGAGACCTCAATAATAAGAGCTAGAGGCAAATTGCAGTAAGTTGTACCACGTTTCTGGGCTTTGTCTGACAACATAGATTTTAATTTTTAAAATAGTTCAGTGTTTAAACAATCGGTATTTAACTTGTGACTTACTAGAACAGTGTAGTTTAACTGGAGGAAGGCAGAGCTCTTTAGCAATATCAGTATTTCTGATCTTCAAGGCTTCATCAACCTGAAATTTATAAACCTGTTAATATACGATTGACTGCTTGTCACCAAACACCTTAGGTGGTGTACATGCGCCACAGATTTGTGAAAGGGGTGTTTTGAGGACTAGCCTTCAGGATGGGGGTTCAGAGAGAAACATAGGAAGAATTATTGTGTTATACTCAACGATCGTGCACAAGTATTTTAAAGGATTGTGTATAAACAACTTGACATAACCACCCCATCAACATCTTTCCCATTCTCCTTCCATCCCAAAATACCAGATTTAAGGAAAAGGTTTTCAAATGAACAGTTGCAGATGACCGAAGTCAAGGCACACACTAGTGTTCTAGGTTGTGACCTTACAAGGAACCTATATTGGCAGTTTGTGCATTTACATCTGTATGGCACTATGTGCATAAGACTGACAACTTGATGTTTTAGACTGATGGGAAAAGGATAGGTAGAAACCTAAATAATCTCACAAGAGCTTCTTATTTGTTGGAAGAAGTCATGGTGCTTGTGTGGAAGAGAATATACATAAATTATTTCTGGCTATGTAAGCTATGGCCATTCTGAAAATCATCAAGCTACCCAAGTAAGAGCTGCCTTTCCAGAAATGGAAATTAAAACTACTGAACTAGAAAAGTCAAATTCCCATGATAGAGATGGAAGAGATTCTTAATCTCCCTCATTCTAGAAAAAAAATTCA